TACATAATTGTTTACTGCCAACAAAAGCTAATTTTATTACCGGGTGCGACAATTAATTCTCCAATTCATAATTTTAATTGTGTCCAAATTTGTAGATAAACAGATTTTACGCATATTTTGCCTAATCCAATTATGTGAAATCGCAACATATAATTATTACATATTATATAAAGGATTATTGAGTTGTAATTTTCACTTTTGACCTTTATATCCAGAAGTATCAAGAACAAAAATCTACATTCCAATGCACGTTACAAAAGAAGTTATCCTTCTAATTGGAAAAACCGGTGTGTATCTTATCTAAATTCCTCGTTTTTTTCTTTTCTCTCATTAAAAAAAAAACAAATTAGGTGCCGGAAAAAGCACTTTGGGCAATTTGCTTCTTGGAAAACCACACGAAGATGGGCCTTTTTATACTTCAGCATCAATGGCAAGTTATTATTTATTGTAGCAAGTTATTATTTATTGTATTGTCGTGAATTTTTGAGTTTAATTGATAATTGCAAAAATTTAGGATTCTGTCACCGACGAATGTTGTGTAGCAACAATGTCAATCGATGGCTTGATGTACAACATTGTTGATACACCTGGAATTTTTGATACTAAAAAAGAATCTGACACAATACTTACAAAAATCTCTAAAGCTGTTAATCAATGTGCTTTTGGGGTTAAAGCTATTCTTATTGTATTTGGTATATTAAATGATTATTTAGCTGCATTGTTTTTATTGATTATTCAAATTCTCAATTTATATTTGGAATTTAACTTAACTTCACAGAAGCAAAACGATTTACCCAAGAACAAAAGGATGTTTTAAATGAAATAAGAACATTTCTTGGAAGAGATGCAACGAATCACATTATCGCTGTGTTTTCCCATGCGACAAAAACTCAAACTGAGTTTAAAGACAGAATGCAAAATGACTGGAATACTCATGTCAAATCTTTTGTCCAAAATATTGGATATCGTTGGGGTATTTCCCCTAATCCTGATATTTTTCCTTCCGATAATCAAATACACAAAGAACGGTTAAATGAGATCAAGCAGTTAATTAAAAGTATTCAAGGTGTCTACACTACCGAACAACTTGAAGTGAATCTGAGAGAACAAGAGAGGATTCGGCGTCAAAAAGAAGAGGATGAGAGGAAAAAAAAGCAAGAATACGAGGAAAAACTCAAAGAAAAAGCGAGAAGAGAAACTGAAGAGGCTTATAAGCGTCAAATGAAAGAGGCTGAAGAGGCTCAAAGACGTCAAATGAAAGAGATTGAAGAATCTCACAGACGTCAGAAGAAAGAAGCTGAAGAAGCTCACAGACGTCAGATGAGTGAAATGAGAGAAGCTGAAAATGCCCGCTGGCGTGAGCAAGCTAAAAAAGAAAGGGAAGAAAAAGCTATGAAAGAAGGATTAGGTTTCACTACAGGGGCGACGACTGGTGCTTTAGCTGGTAGTGTGGCTGGTCCAATTGGTGCAGCAATTGGAGGTGCAGTCGGAGGTGCAGTTGGATGGTTAGGTTCTAAATTATTTTCATGAAATTATATGACTTATTGCCACAAATAAAAATCTATGTAATGTTATAAACCATTTAACTCAACTGTTCATATCAATATCCTACAACTTACAAATATGTACTTACCTTTTATACTGATGTGCTTAAAATAACTTGCCGAATAGTCGTTGAAATAAATTTGCCTGTCAATTTCAACTAACTCCTTGAAATATAAATAATCACTTAATAAAGATTTGTTGCAATTTATCAAAAGTATTTTTGAATGTCAGCTAAAAACATATACCAGCAATTTTTATACATCTAATTTTACTTCTATTAGCTGCTTTTTTGAAATTCCTATAGTCACTGGAAAAATATATTAGAATGGTCTGTCAATCATGATTGGTAGGGAGTGTTTGACTGAGTTTTAATTTGAATAAACACGATTACATCGTATCACATGAAAAAAATAACGTGCAGAAATTTATTTATGATCATAAGAGTTTGCCGGATAAATTAAAGTTATGTTTTATTTTTCAAAAAATTTGGAAGTACAGATTTTGAATGTTTATTATAGGACAGGATGAAACCCTGAGTTAATTTTTTTTATCAATATAGATATGAAAGAGTAAAATTTGCATTTTTTTAGGTTACCTTTTTGATATACAGGTGATTCTTGGCATAAGCACATATTTTGATATGTCAATCCACGATTACACGTATACAATGCTATAACATGTTAAGAATCCATTTCTAACGACTCATTTAAATCATTAAGAAATTCTTCATATCTCGCATTTCCTATTACGCAATGATGTAGAATTTTTTGTACTAATTTTTAACGATTTATTGAAATCTTCAAGCGCTTCTTCATATCCGCCAATTTACATATAAGTTAATCCACGGTATGTAGTATTGTAACATTATTCAGAATGATTTTTTTAAATCTCTGAGTGATTCTTCATATTTTACGACCTTTGCTGATAAATTATCCGACGCTATAACATTATTTCTGTTAATTTCAACAATTTGTTTAAATCTGTAAGTCTTCATATCCGCTTAGCCTAAGTTCTATAAATGGGTTTCAGAATTAACTTTTTCGAAAATAAGTGAGAGTCTATTTAAAATTATGAATTGGAGAATTAATTGTCGCACCCGGTAATAAAATTAGCTTTTGTTGGCAGTAAACAATTATGTA